AGATAGATAGATAGATAGATAGATAGATAGATAGATAGATAGATAGAAAAAAAATATGTATATATAGTGGGATAATATATATACATATAATACATATATGTTATCCCACTGTGGGATCAATAAAGTACCAAGTATCAATAAAAGGCCAAGTTCTGGACTCATGCCAGAACTTTAAAACAAAGCATTTTAATGCACTGTGAGCTTTAAATGGTTTAGCGGTGCTAACATGCTGCTTTGGGTAGAGGTTAATAAGTCTAATAGCTTTTGCATTAGAACCCTGATGGCCTTTGAAAGCAGGCCCCTCCTGATACCCCCTGATCAGTAAATAAATAAAAAAAAAGAAGAAATAAAAAAGCCTAATCTGGGACGATTCCAGTCTGTCTACGTCCACTCTTTGTTTTTGTCTGATCACAGCTTATCTCGGCAAGGGGTCCGTGCTGAGTTAGCTCAAGCCATTTAACCATATGGTGAGAGGAAGATCAAGGTTTTTTCCAGCCAGGCACGGTTACACATAACACCTTTACTCGTTAAGTGTTGCAGGCTGCATGATTTAGACTTTTTTTTTATATTCTTATTGACGATATCAAATAAATTATTTAATTATTTGCATGAGGTGGTCTTGCAGCTGGCAACAGATTCTAAAATTCCAATTTTTGTCACTAAAACCTCTGTGTTAAATGTGTTATATCTATTATCTCCATGTTCCCTCAACTGAAATGACATTTCATAATTTATCGTGACAGAAAAGAATACCAAAGTCAGTCAGCTATTACATACCTGAGTAGAACCAGTCCATATCTTCGGGGGGGTTCTTCAGGTCTTGGATCAGTGGTTCGACTGCTACGACTGTCAGAAACAGAAAAAAATTACTGTTACAATCTAATTAAACCAACCATTAAATCATTTTTTTTCCCCCAGTCCTCTCTGTTTCACCATACCAGTTTCATACTGTGGAGGACCGCAGAATGTCTGGCGCCCATCACACTATTACATTTAATTATTTAGGTACCACTACTTAATTCAACTTAAAGGTGAGAGAAAAAAATGTGAGAGTTGAATTAAAAACGTAGACCTTTAGCATTAAGCACACAAGTCAGTGAAAAGACTTTTTAGCTCAGTTGTATGGCGCAAATGATTATTGGCAATAATCCATATTCTCAGGCACCATTTGGAATGGCAGTGCTTGTCTTTTAGGAAGACATAATGAAATTATTTATCGCTGTCATGGTTAAATAACATTACTTATTAGATAATTAGAAGCCTCTCAGGGTGACTGAAATATTTATTACAGATGGTTTGATTTGACATTAAGTTTTCATTTTTAATCAATTTAGTCTATCATAGGGTCACTTTCATTTCCGATTTTGGTGACCATTTTTCTCATATGGTGGCTGGAATTTAAAGCTGTCTATGCTGATTTTACTTACTGTCAGAATTGACCAACTCCCTTTAAAAAATTGGTTTTCTAATTCACACATAGTCTCAGAGACTCAAAGTATCACAACTTAATTTAAGAAAAGTCAATAACTAATATTGTACACTAACCCTCCTAAAAGGAAATTACCATTAAAGTGTTAAATATGTACATATTACATGTATCACATGGCAAAAATATACCCAAGTGGTTTATAAATTAACTTTGAAAAGACAAAAGCCTGGTCTCACATTGATGCTCGAGTTAGCCCAGTGGCAGAAGTCTTAAAACCAAATCAGGTGGAATATTCTACACTTTCCACAGTCATATTTGACAAAGACTTAAACGTGCACTTTTGGAGCCCATTGCTGAACAAACCTCTACACATTACCAGGGGGCTACAGGTGACACAGTTCCCAACATCAAAACTAATCTTAAAGGGGATCGGCGCCAAAATAACATGACTAAAAACCTAAAAAATGAGAGAGAGAGACAAAACAGTACACTTTGTTTTTTTCTTTTGATCTTAGCGCGCACAAAAAGCTCGCGCTCGGGAAGATGAAAGGCCCGGAGAGTCAGATTCAGGTCACGGACAACTGGAGTGCCATCATATAGGCAGCAATAATTCTGCCCATGTGGCACGGCTGAACGCAGACTAATCCTATTGTTTAGTCTTTAAATCAGCGGGACGCTGACACATGGTGCATATGTCCCCGTGCATTTACTCGATAAATAGGTGCAGACCTGTGTGACACAACTATATGACGAATATTCAACAAACTCCATACCTTACACTTCCATAAAAAGTAAACCGCTGCTTTATTTTCCTGGTTCTGGTGTTCAAACACGTCTTTGCTGGTGGGCATAAAACGCCTATCGATAAAATCCCTGGATGAGGCTTCGTGTCCCAGTAGTTAGTCTCAGACACCGCACCCCACTCTACATCAGCCGGAATTCAAATGGAAAAAGGCAGCTTGCTTCATGTAACGATTACCGGTATGTACCGGAGAGAACATGATAAGTCTCCAGCTTTTTCACAGAATAAAAGCCAGTATTTTACCAGTGAGTACAGTTGTATTAAAAGTCGTATAATTGACAGCACATAGTGAAAATAATATGGCCCTTACTAGGTCATAAAGTCCCAAAATACAAACTGAGAAAATAGACAAAATGTCCTTTGGGCAGAAGAGAATCAGCAAAAGGGCACATTTGGCAATAACCTCTCAACATCTAAGCACAAACCCTTCATACCAACCTATTAGCACAGAGGTGGGAAGTTGATGATTCGGGCTTGTTTTGCAAAGCACCCTGAAATCTTATCGGCACCGAGTCCTCCCAAACGCCTAAAAAAAGCATTTCTGCCGTCAGATGTGAGGCCATCTGTCAGGCCGTCTAAAGCTGGGGTAAAACTGGGTCATACAGCGCAGTGATCCCAAACACAGCAGCAAATCTACAACGGAGCGTCTCAAAAAAGAAGCCGATCGAGGTAATGCCAAAGTTCACATCTCAGCCTGGCAACCTGGTCCGCAGAAAATTCAGTTTCATCAAGTCTCCACACACATAGGAGTGGGCAAAACATGCTCATAAAATGTGAGGTTGATAACTACAAACAACTCTTGCTGCTAAACGTGGTTCTACATGCTAACTCTTTACCAAACTGCCCTTCTTTTTAGCTTTGTTGTTAAAAATGACAAATATCAGTGATATATTTATTAAATGCTGCTCCTCTGAGGTTCGATTCATATAATTTCAAGTTGGCAATAATTTTTTTTTCTTTTGGCTGGCGATGTGAAGCCCTTGAATCCAAAGAGAATATAACATTTTGTGAGTAATCTTGATAAACAAAGGCTATAGATAAGAACCCAAACGTAAGAGCAGTGATTATTTCATCTTTTTCTGCTTTTTCATGCTGATTAAAGGAAGTCTGTGAATGATTTAATGGTCCTTTTCAGACAGAATGGAAAATCACAGACATTTTAAAAACAGAAACTGCATGAGTAATAAATACTGATTAATGGATTTCAAAGTGAAGAGGACTCTTACCAAACTATACGCTCCTATTTTAGCTCCTTCATATACCGATGGCTCATTTAAAGCTTTTTTTAAACAAAAAAGAAAGAGAAGTACAATAGTCCATTAAAAAAACTCCACTTGGCTGCCTTAAATGAAACCTACATATGCATGTAAGTGTTCAATTAGTAGAGAGTTAGTGTTCATTTTCTGTGTAGCATCATCATCATCATCATATTCATGAATCTGTGCTAGATTGTGGTTAGTGTTCAAGATGGTGAAGCAAAACACTCATGGCTAAGTACAAATGTGGAATTTGGCTGCATCTAAATGTCTTTAATTGATGGTTCCCTCCCTCCATTGCCTGTTAAAAAGCCATAAAATGCAGCAAAATGTAAAATAATGTAAAATAATGTCCTAAAACTCCAAGATTCAGTCATTCTGAGAGTTCAGAGTCCGCCTATGCTTCTGTCTACACCGTAAGATCTCCGCGGGTTTGATATCTAAGGCTTATAACGGAAGCGATGGATTTCTGAGGATTCCAGTTTGCCACTCTTGAGGGGAAAATAAAACAGGTCTTATGGGGGGGATTAGTCCTCCCCCCCGAGCATACGCTTAAACATTATTGAAACAGTGTGGGATCATCTTAACAGAGAATGGAACAAAGGCAGCCAACAATCCAAAGGAAATCTCCTTAAAAGGTGTCCTTCAAGAGGAATCAGCAAGGAAAACTTGTTCTGAAGACCATCTCAAGAAATGAGAAGAAAGCTTGTCTATCAAAGTTCAGGCTATGGTAAAAAAAAAAAATGTTGACTTTAAGATCATTGGATTGGTATTTTCCCTCCAATGAGAAAAGAATAGAGTACAAATACTTCATTAAAGAAGTATAAAATGAAGAACAAAGAACACAAAGGCAAGATTGATGGCGCCAAAACCATCAATTGGATTGGAAAACTCCCCTTCAGATCTACGATCAATCCATCAAGCTCAGCTCATTCGGAGGGTGATTTTGTGATGAAGTGTCGAACTTAATCTGTTTTCGGTTATCCAGCGTCGGGCCGTTAACTTTTTCACCTCCTACTTTAATTACCTACCTCGTATATTTCCCAAAAAATCCTTTCAGCGACCCCCTTGGGAGGCATTAGAGTGCGGGTGGAGGTTCTGGGATTTGCGAGGGGGTCGTTTTAGTTGGTTAAAATGTGGATTTTTTTGTGATCCATTGCAATTTTTCTGCCATAGAGAAACAGTTAGGATGTTTTTTTTTGTTTTGTTTTTGTGAGGAAAATAGTTCTCAGAAGCTGCTTCAGTGTTTTTAAAAATTGAGATGAGTTAGTCTATTTTAGATTAACACTAATGATGAGAACTGTTGAGTTACATGACTCCTGAGACTAATCAACCACCAAAGAGGAAGGAGTTTATCATCAATTAGTCGAGGTTACACCAACAAAAAAACAATTTTCTCACTAGATCTTATTACAGACGTCCCAGTAAAAAAATAACATTTAAAAAAAGACCTTGAATCATCTTTTTTAGAAACAGAAACACAAGAGTGCACAGGAGCGAGAGTGTGTGTAAGTTGTGTTAGTGTCTTCTTTGTTTTTTATTGAATACAATCTTTTTTTATATAGAAATATGTGCTCAGTCCGTGAAACCTACCCTTAAGCAAGCGACAGTGTTTTTTTTTCATTACATGGCCTAAACTACAAATCCAAGTGGATGAATTTTGGCACAGAGAAAGCGCATTCAGCCAGAACAAAATATGAGTCCGTTCCAAAGGGAAAGCTTTCAGCAAATAAAAATCGTGACAATGTAGGAGTGTATAAAAAAAACATAGCGTGTGGATAAAAACCTCCCTAACTTTCTGACGACCAGAAGTGACCTTAGAAAACTGCATGAATGGTAAACCGGTCAAAACATATTTTTATTTTTACAATATTCGTCAGAACAGGATGGAAATCAGGATCCAAACATGGCCGAAACCATTCTTGCCCTTTGACACGCCATTTCCTCCAAGCTCTCTGCAAACTGAATGAAGTACTCTGTCAACACATAATAAGTT